TCAGGTTCGTCGATCACCATCTCAGGCAGCAGAGGGCGCTGCAGCAGCTCGGCATGATCCAGCACAACGCTTGGCGGCCGCAGAGGGGGTTGCCTGAGAGGGCGGTTTCTGTGCTGCGAGCGTGGCTCTTTGAGCACTTCCTCCATCCGTAAGTTCTCCTTTTTGCGACGTCCATTGCATTTAGATAACGGAACATGAAACAGAAGAGAGTTGTATGCCACAACTCGATACACCAGTAAAACTCGGGCTGGCGTTTCCTCTATGGTGTTGGCACTGGTGTGTTACTGACGTGACAGATATATAGATTACTATAATTCGCATTATCAATACGCACAAGTCGTAAATGATGGTTTGGATGCGTGTTAGGCCAGTGATACCCAGCCATCACCATGAGGGACATGTCAGTTCCGCATGGACGGTAGATAAATACATTAATTATTTTCTCAAGGGAAATGGAGGATGGTGTATCCACCATGCTCTTATTTTTTAATGCATCCTTGACGTAGAACATATCCAAACCGCTACAACTTTAAACCATGTGTTAGGAACAAATAGTGACATATCGAATATGCGTCACGTTAATAAAACATCAGCTAAGAGCACGGAGGAACACAACAGATCTAATTTACTCGTGTTCTCGCCGCTTTCGTAGAATTCTCATTAGTGTAGTTGAGCTTAGGCACCCAATATAGAGCTTGGAATTTGCAAGTAGATGCTTCTAAACCCAAAAATTTTAGGAATATGTTCGATTGATGAGAGTTCTTGAATAGAGATAATTGATGATAAGGATTGAATTAGATTTTTTTTTTTTTTGCCCCCTCCAAACTTTTCCACTAACTGCTTGAAGTAGTATATAGTCCTTTAATCATGCTAGACAAGGCTAATCTAGCTAGATAACAATGATGAGAGCACAAAATAAGAATAGTGCTTAGTGCTTTGCATATATTCTTATCATTTCACCCGAATTCTTCGGAATTAGTTCCTCTTTTATGTGCCTAAGGTGAAGTTGGGAATTTTCCTAAAAGCTTCTAGTGAAAATTTGAAGAAAATGCTGGATCACGGCAACTTCCTACTAATTCCTAGAAGTAGATGTTCCATCTTTAATAATTTCACTAACCCTTTTTCCTAAAATACCCCTTGAAGTGTATTTAATCCTCTAGTCAAGGTAGACAAAAGCTATATATAACTCACGAAAATGCTAGAGGCACACCTCTAAACCACACCTCCAACCACACTCATCTCTCGCTACAGTGTACTAGGGCCCACATAAGAATTTTAAAAAAATTCTTATGTAGTCCAGTATACTACAACGAGAGAGTAGTATGGTTAGGGTGTGACTATAGCGCCTCATGTAACCCAAGTGCTCAATTATTAAAAGCACAAAATGAGAACAGTGCAAAATGCTTTTCAATTCGCCGAAGAAGTTAGTTGCGCAGAGAAATCGAGGGGGGGAGAAAGTTTCGAGAGGATGTCTCCAATCACATCCAAAAGAGAAACACGCAATTATTGAGGGACCCAAGGCGTGGGTCCTCGCTCCTGATGATCATGACCAACCATAATATGGGTACTAATTAAGCTCAACTTTATATATATAAAATCGGTTTTTCTATAGAGTGCCATTGGGCACTCTATAAGAGAGGAGAGAGATAGAGAGAAATGAATGCGGAGGGGGGCCTCCTGATTTGCATTGGGATCCTCTCTTCATTCATTTCTCTCTATCTCTCTCCTCTCTTATAGAGTGCCCAAGGGCACTCTATAGAAAAACCGATATAAAATAACTCTCACGTATACATGGGGTAAAAAAACAAAAGTTACAAGCTTCTAAATTTACCACGCCAATCAAAATCCAACAATACTCAGCAAAAGTAAAAAAAAAAAAAAAATTCTGGATTTTGGTCTACATATTTTTGATGGGAACTCTGCTTGTTTTAACGCAGGTATCCCAAGGATTCAGACAAGCACATGCTCGCAAAGCAGACTGGCCTCACTAGGAGCCAGGTGATGTTCGAACAAAATCACTGCTTCCTTCTTCTTATCTTAGTATAAAAGGAGAAATTGTAGGTTAATAATCAAAAGGCCGTGTAAAATTTTCAGGTATCGAACTGGTTCATAAACGCGAGAGTCCGTCTGTGGAAGCCAATGGTGGAGGAAATGTACTTGGAAGAAACCAAGGAACAAGAGCAAAACGACGACGCCAACAACAACAACAACGACAAGAGCGAAGCCAGCGACCACTCCGCGTCGAAATCCATATCCCAGCAAGCGAACAGCAGCACCCCCTCGAGGGCGGAGAACGCGGAGGGCAACAACCTGAACACGTCAGACC